TGTGTGTGTGTGTGTGTGTGTGTGTGTGTGTGTGTGTGTGTGTGTGTGTGTGTGAACTATTTTTGTAATCTATATTTCTTAATTTTTCCAGTACCGATAGCAGAACCAACAATGCTGGCGCCTATTGATCCTTCAGTCTTTAATAATTTAGTTTTGTGACCTATTCGATACCAGACTTTTGTACAAATCTCTAACTCCATGCACACCGAACTGTGATATGTGCTGATTTTTTTTTTTTTAAATGATGGATTACAATTAAAATTCACCCAAAAAGCTTCACTCTAAAAGAAGACGTGCTTAAGTCGACTCTGAGATACAAACAACCCTTATTACAACAAGTATTACTGCATTTTAATGCGCTTTTCTTCTTCCTTACCTCTAATAGAAAACTTGTCAGTATCAAATCATTCAACGTTAGAATGACTGCTTGAAACTGTCGTATCTCGCTCTTTCCTCGTTAGGTCCCTCGTTTATGGACTTTGGCAACGTGTGTGTGCAGTCGGTGTGTGTTCGGGACCTGGAGCTGATCAATAAGCTGTCTGTGTTCGTGTGGGTGCAGCTGGAGGTGGACAGCCCAGAGCTGCAGGGCTCCTCACCGCTATCCCACGTCCTGCCACCCCGATCACGCAACACCTTGCCCCTGATATTTCAGAGCAAAAGGCTGGGTTCCTTCTACAGGTTGGTGGAAGCAGCATCTCATCACACCTTTGTGACATACAAATCAATGATGCATTACGAGCATGTTTTCTTGCCTCCAGGCCCGTGTCCTACTCTGTTAATCAGCAGCACCCCGGTCAGATACTGGTCCAGGCCGAGGTCATCCCCTTGACTCTGGAACTGTCCACCAAGCTGCTGGTGCTCCACCCCACCCCCACTCTTCTTGCTGCCTCAGGATACAGGGGCTCAGTAACCCTTAGAAACCAGTGTAATGGTGCTGCTGAATTCACATGGCAGCCAGTCGTCACAGAGAGCGGGATCCTGTTCTCTGTTCGACCAGCTACAGGTGCAGCTTACATTTAGTGTCCCAGGGTGAACCTTGGTTGACATTTTCAAAACCTAGATATGAAGAATGACACTTTGCATCTTCTCTTTATGTTGTTTTCTATATAAGAAGCACTATTGTTTTGATTTGCATAGTTGAATTATGTCTGACACAGCGAATCTGCCTGCCTTCTCTGCAGGTGTAGTGGAGCCTTACAGAGAATTGGATTGTGAGGTGGTGTGGCATCCGTCTTTCTCCTCGCCGTCAGAGGGAGACTTTGATCTCTGTGTCCATGAGGGGAACACACAACGCCTACACTGTGTTGCTAAGGTCTGTCCCCAGCATAGGGAAGCTTTCTAATGATTACCACTGTAGTCTTTGAGTAACTTAAAGGGACACTTGACCCAGATTTCAAACATTTGAGAATGAAACACTCACCAAGGTGTGAAAAAATTAGAATCGTCCGCGCTCACACATGACCTGTCAAGCTCGCTGTCTGTCTTGAACAGAGCATTTTGGGTCTGTTTTCTCATTTTAGCCTGTCTGGTATTGTTCTTGCCTTAATGAATAAGTGGCCAAACATAAATGAGGTGATTTCACTTTGAAAAGACTTGAGACAGCTACAATTACAAAAAATGCTTTCAACACTCTGACACATCAGTGAATGAATGAAGAATCAGAAAGAGTCTCTTTGTTGACTCTTTATTTTTAATGTTCAACCAAGCCGAATCCATTTCTATTCTGCAGCAGCCTCAGTAGACCAGAACAGAATTCAGCAACAAGAACTGTTTGACTTTTGTCTTCTTATGGAAAAGTCTTTGTGACGTTCTCTTACGTCCTGAGAGTTGCACACAGGTTTAAATACATTCCTTTTGTGGGGGTGTCAAAGTAAAAAACAAAAACAAAAGTGGAATTAGAAAAGGCAGCTTAAGGGAGAGTAGGTATGGCACAAATGTAGAAGAACAACACTGTGCATTGAATTTATACATGACAGAGAATCTTCCTTTTCTCGTGGCTCTCCTCTCAGGTTGTAGCCACCAGTGTCCAGCTGGCAGAGACGCAGGTCACATTCGGATCAGTGCCTCTCAGCGTGCCCTCTATAAGGACTGCTGTCTTACACAACACTGGACAGAACCACGGCTACTACCAGGTGTCCACAACAACACACACACCTCGTTTTTCTGGATACTTGTATGCAACAAACAAGAACATTTGCCAGTGTCTTAATGTCTCTGTTTGTTTGAGGCAGGTTCTGGATGTGTGCCCTCTGCCAGGTATGGTGGTGAGTCCATCGGAGGGCGTTGTGCCAAGCAGGGGGCAGGCTGTGCTTCATGTCCACTTCAACCCAGACTGTGTCATCAAGTTTGACACAAGAGTTGAGGTGAGAGAACATCAGAAAAAAAGAGAAGTGGCTCCCTATTCTCATGTTACGATGGTTAGTCCACGTATGTGTAAAAGTACATGTAGGAAGCTAAGAATTTGCTTCCATTACAGATAGCTCTGAGGAACATGAAGTGTGTTGAGCTCAGGGTGAGCGGATCAGTGGAGCCTCCAGATGTCGACGTCAGTGTGGTGAGTGTGTGTGTGTGTGTGTGTGTTTGTGTTTGTGTGTGTGCTTCTTGATAAGTTTACGGACACACTTTGAACGAATGAATGAAGGACTGACAAACCATAGCCATAAACAAAGCCAGAAAAAATAAAATATATACAAGATACATATATTGTATAAAAACATAATTACGTAACCATTTCTTAGCATAAAATAATAATTCATAACTTACCTACCTATCACAAAAAAATAACAGAAAATACAGGCACAAAACCAGCCTTCCTAACATAATGGGAGGAAAAAAAGGGCTTCTCACCCTTTCAGCTACCATGACTGCTCTTTTAGAAGCTATTTACATTTTTTACAACACAGATTATTCTGGTAACTCTAGCAGATGTCCTCACAGCACCCTTTGGCAAGGCAGCATCAGTTTCAGAGGCAGGAAGGAGGCAGAGCAAAGCTGGAATAGGCAGTTGCCAATTTAAAGTATGTGCCATCAGTCTTTTGACTAATCACTGGCTGGCAATTGCAACTTAGCATAATGGAAACATCCCACAGAACAAGTGAAAACACTCCCACAGGAAGGGAGGGCGAGCAGCACAAGAGCATCATGCAGTTGCACAATGATGGCTCTGAGTCATAATACCAATAAACACGACCATTAACTTGTAACAGAGAACACAATACTGGTCAAAACAACATAAATCATCAGCAATATATGTTAAAGGTTGCTTTTTTTTGCCTTGTACTTTTTAAAAGTGAAAATACAATTAGGGACGTGTTACCTAAAGAATAATCATAATTTTTAAAAAATGGTTCCTGATATCATAATATGCCAAAAGAGGTTCTTATGGTCACGGTAGCATGCTTGACAGTAGGTTGGGTGTTCCTGGGGCTAAAGGCCTCACCTTCTCCCCTCCAAACATATTTCTGGTCATTGTGGCTAAATAGCTCAATGTTAGACCACAGAACTTCCTCCTGAAGGTCTTTTCTTTGTCTTTGTGATCAGCAGCAAAATCAGTCAAGCTGTTTCTGGAGGAAGGGCTTTCTTCTTGCATGACAGCCTCTCAGTCCATAGCCATGTATATGTGCCCCACAGATTCATTTTTAGTTGCTCTCACTCTCTCTTTCAGTCACATTTCCAGTTCTATGGGGTTCATGTTGGTTCCCAGCGAGTGAAACCATTTGCTCTGACAAACCACTCGTCAGCTGCAGCCTGGGTCACCGTCGACCTGTCAGAACATGAAGACTTCTCTCTCCAGCTCCCTCAACCTTCAGCAAGTACGCATTGACAAACAATTTGGAATATCCCACAGGATGAGAGTTGAAATGTGATAGTGGGAGGGTCATTTGTCCTTACACTAATGCATATGCAACTCAAGATAAACAATTGTTTTATAGTATTACTATGACTGAGTGGGCTGTGACTACAATATTAAATCAGAAAACAGATGGGACAGATTACTGGACAGTTGCCCCTCATCAGGTGTCTAGTTCAGGTGTTTACACAATTGACAGTTTGGCCTGTAGGTGGTTTTTTGATTGTTTCTGTGGATTTGTACAAGCAGCAACGGCACCAGGTGTGAGTGTTGTGGAGGTCCAGGGCTACCAGACAGTGAAGTGCTCCCTTGTCTTCTCCCCCACGCAGGTGAGAGTTGACCAAACATCTCCCAGAATACATATTGTACATGAAGATCTTTCTACACATTAAGTGACTGAACCTCTCCACATGGCAACAATATGATAGAAATCATTTGAATTCCCCTTGAAAAAGCTCCTGGTTAGAAAAAAGTCTGTGCACAGAAAGAAGCCTAAAGCAGAACCAGATTCAGAGAAGACAGCCATCTGCCTCGACCTGTGGGGGTGAGAGTAAAGGGGAGACAGATAGAAACAAATAAACAACACATAAGCCCTATTTGCATGGGGGCTAGTGTTACCTTTAGATGTTTAGTAGTATGTAAAAACTGCACAAGTCAAACCTGCCATGTCTGTAATATGTAAAGTAACCATTCCACCGTAAATGACCTACCATATCCTACCAAACACATGTCCTGTAATCATAAAGAAAGTTTGGAGCATTTTGGGTTCAAATGTAGGAGGCTCATGTCTCTACACAGCTTAAGGGCTTATTCAAAGGAAGAGCGAGCTCACGGCCCCACAGGCCCATAGACGCTCAGAGTCATTTCTTCAACATTAGATCACAAGACCTCTAAGTAAACTACTCCCTTGTGAATAGGGCTTAAGAAAACAAATGGTACTGGGGAGGTTGGTGTCAACAGCGGTGTTTTTTAACCTTTCCAAAACCAAAAATACAGGAGGAAAATTGTAAGGCATAGGCTGAAGAGCGGGCTTCACTTTAAGTACGATGCAACAGTTATTATGTCTGCTTAACTAGTATGACGAGCAAATCTGCTCAGTAATGTTTCCCCCCGTGTGAAATCTCTGTAGAACATTTGACTCAGAATATTAATGATAAAGTTAGCACCAAATGAGAACGGAACGCCGACCAGGAACCGCAACAGCACCTAAGAGGAGAAAGTGCCCCATCTTTTACTTCACCTGTAAAATATTTGCAAAAGTGAACACATTACATGTAAAGTTGTAGAAGGACAACAAAAGAAATGTCATCCTGCAGATGGCCAGCTATGACTTTGACCTGCCACTGAAGGTGAATGGAGTGAGATGGCCGAGCGCTCCTCAGTCTCCTTTCCCCACTCCATCCTCCTCGTCCCACTCCTCCTTGCTGGCTGCTGGCAGCAGGAAGCACATGGTGAAAGCACTTCCTTACTCTGCCACTCGGGTGACAGGGCAGTCACTGGGCATACAGGCCACAGGTGGGGTCATTCATTTAAATTTAGACTTGTGTTACCAACATTTAAAATACTTACACATGGCACTAGAGTCACCTAGATGCAATGTTTTTTCTCTTCATCTTTTTTTAGTGCTGTGCGCCCCAGTAGAAATGTCCCCCTCTAGTCTACAGTTTGATGTGTTGCCACAGTCTGACACTTACACGAAGGTATCAGCACGTGCACAAGTTCATTACTTTCTTTCTTCCCTTGACTAGTAACTTTTTTCATATATTTTTTATTTCTGTCTCTCCTCTCTCAACTTTCTGACTCGATTTCCTTTCATTTGTACTTTTCATTTCTACATGTAGATTCTCAGTCATCCAGCTCTTGGTCATCCAAGGAGCTTTAGCAAAATAGCAGCTGAGCTTCTCTTCTAGGTTCCTTAAGGTTATTGGATCCTGAAGAAATGCTCTCTCATCTTGTTTGTACTACTGTTGTATGTACAGCAAAATGACAATAAACTTGATGTGATTTGATGAAGACATTTAACCTCTCCTCCATGAGACTTCTTCAGTTCCAGCTTTATCCTTCTTTTCTTCACGTTTACTTTCATCCTACTGATCACCTGACACCATTTTATGATAAATAATATGACAACTTTTTTTCCTTTTTTTCTCTTCTGTGTTTCTGTTGTCTATTTTTTGTTCTGTCTTTTAATCCTATCTCCCTTCATAGAAAGTTGTGCTGAGGGCAGCCTGTGAAGAGAGTGTATTTTGGCGTGGGGTCATCGGGGAGCGTGTGTGCTGGTGGTTTGACTGCAATGCAACAGCAGCACCAACAAAAGAGAAAAGCGATGGGGAGCTATGTGTGTTATCTCCATCATCTGGCAGTCTGGGGCCTGGCCAGTCCATCTGCTTAGTGGTCAGCATCCACCCCGAGGCTATCAGACCAGGTGAGCAATGATTGGAAACACACAAGCACAGGATGATGGATGACAATTTCTCCCTATCGTCCCCGTTTCAACAAATACACACACATTTCATAGTAAATACATTTTTTTCAAACACACCACATCCCATCATCACAATTTCTATCACCTGACACCTATCTCCCCCGACACACACAAATGTGAGGAGCAGAACAGGATGATGAACAACACATGTCACAGCTTAATAGTGTGAAACATCCCTTAGAATACAATTGTGCTTGAGCTACAACTAAGATAAAATAAAATGACAACTAAATCTAAATTTAAATAATACTGAGTGAAAGAATGTTCTCATGCAGGAGTAGGCCATTATATCATGATCATCTTTAGTGATACACCATAAAAAAGAAATTATGCTTTGCCTGGGATCTGTTCTCATAAGACAATACCTAACTGTGCCAAGCTGAGAGCCACCAGAAATTGGCTGGTGGGTCTTTTTCCTTTTTGTTCAATAATTTTCGAATTTTCGATTTTATTTCACCCTAAACCTAAGTTACAGTCACCATGACTGTGTGAAGCCACAAAACATGAAACACATCCTTCTGTCTTTAACAAGCATGACCTTATTCGGCACAACAAGCACATTTATGGGAAATATGCTGAGTTATCTTAGTTAACCTGCTCAGCCCTGAGCTATTCTTCAGGTCTCTGCTCCAAAATGACATCCCATAATAACCAGAGTTTATCTGCAACCACAAGGTCTGTTTGAATGATTCTTGTGTCATAATCAAAGGAACACTAGTAAGATGTGTTCAGGTGTGTAAATATCAGTTTATATGTTCCTGGTTCAGAGTAAATGCAGACGGCACACAGCACAGAGGAAACATGTTCAGGATGATGATGATGTTTGTACTGATCCAGCTGCAGCTCTGAACCTCTCCCAGATCACAGACAACATGTGAACATTCTCTCTGCAAAGGCTGACTCTGATAAAGTGAATGTTCTCATGTACAAACTATATATTCCACTAGTACATCACTGATGGGGTTCAATACATCCACATACAGCAGCTCTTTAGTTTCCTGAACATCCAACCAGACCGCTGTCTGTGTTCCGCGTCCTGATGCTGCTCAG